TTCTGAGGCTAGAATTTTGGGTGGCTATTTCAGCTTTAAAAACCACCAATCTCGACCAATTAATAAAGCAAATAATTGCTCTACTTCCGGCACCGGGAGTTGACACTGGCCCAAAAAAGGAAAAGTTAAATTTACTTATTTTTGGTCCCCCTAATTCGGGTAAATCAACCCTCATGAATTATTTGCTCCAAGAAAACCGCTCCTTGACTACTTCGCTGGCTGGAACCACACAGGAACCAGTGATTAGTCCTTGGAACTGAAAGAAAATTACTTGGCAATTAGTTGACACAGCCGGCATTACCAAAGAAAAAAAATTACCCGTTAGCCTCTGAAAATCATCTGACTTAGTTTGAGCGGTAATCGACGCTAGTCGACCGCTAACTAAACAGATTTTTCAGATTATTAATTTGGGAGAAAAATACCACAAACCACTTTTTATAATTGTTAATAAGTGTGATTTGTGGCCCGACCAAAAGTTAATAATTTCGGAGTTAAGAAGCCGCTTAAAATCTCTTAATTACTGCCCGATAATTTGTCTTTCCGCTTTAAAAGGGACCGGATTTAGTTCATTGGCGGAAAGTTTAAATAAAGTATGGAAAAACGCTCAAAAAAAGTTAACTAAAAAACAGATTAGCCAAGCAATCGAACAAATGATTGCGGCTAACCCGCCGCCTTACCATCGGGGCAATAAATTAAAGATTTATCTTGCCCGGCAGGAGGCGGCCGGTCTAACCCCACACTTTATTTTTTTCGTTAATAATCCCCGCTGAATTCACTTTTCTTATCAACGCTATGTTATTAACTTTTTCCGGAAGTATTTTGATTTTGAGTATTTACCTCTCAAAATTACTTGACGAAAAAGCGTTTAGGAGAAAAAATTGTAATGCCAGTGGTGAATTAATTCTTGGTTATTTTTCTTGAAGAAACTTCGTGGTGTTTTCGTCTGCCAAAATCATTTAATTCCCTGTGGTAATTTTTTTTCTTTTCTTCGTTAATTTCTTTCTCGTCTTT